AGTTAGGAAAACTTTAAAAGAGTATTTCTTTAGAAGTATTATTTTGAACAATTGAGTATTGACTTTATGTAAAGGATGTTGAATTCTTGAGATTATATTAAGAGAATATACCAATACAAGAGTATGTAGTCAAGTTTGAACAATTGGCTCGGTACTACTCTTTGACCATATATGAGGCTTGGAGATGTATAAAATTTAGTGAAGGTTTAAGACATGATTAGAAGAGGATTGTGGTCCCTATGGACATTAGTGAGTTTTTAGCCTTAATGGAGAAGACAAAGACTTTTGAGAGGCTGGAAGGTGGTAACAAGTTGTTAAAGTCTTTTGAAGGGCCAATTGGATCCAAGAAGGGTAGTCATCAAAGGAAACCTTGTGATAAACCTTAACCTCAACACGATGGTTGATGAAACTAAGTAACTGTAAAAGAAATTAAGTTGCAGGTTACTTTCATGATGATTAAAGAGGCCTAACCTATTATTCCTCTCTAAATGTGGGATTAACCTATTCTTAAGGAATTTTATTTTCTTGGGGCCCTCTTGAACCCTTTTATTCTACCTAAACTCGAACTATATTTTTCAAGTTTTTCTAAAGGAGGTTTGTTACTAACTTCTAAAATGAATTGCCTTCGGTGTCCTATTTGATCACTTAAGCCCCTAGAAATTAAATTATTTACAACTAAATTTCCTTGGCTTCCTAAAGAATGAGGTGATCTAGAGCCACCATGACTAAGACACTTCTTAGGAACAAAATGTTGTCCCTAAGATCGAAAGGCTCGATAAAGAGCATTGAACTCCTTGTTATGGGTGGGGTAGTTGAGAGTGGCACCAAAATGAGTTATCTTTAAAGAAGAAATAGAATGCCTACCTTCAACAAAACAACTCCCATACCTAATCCAAATGCAGAATATTCTAGCTCAAAAGTTGTAGAAATATCTTCCTCCTTTTCACTCCACTCACCTTCTAAGAGTTGTTTTGCTTTTTTTGCTCATTTTTTCCTCACAAGCTTCATTTGTATTTGATCTTCTATCATTTGGATAGGTGTAAGAGGGTGTAACACAAATTTCTTATCTTTATGGGTGAGGTATATTTCATTAGTAAGGTCATTGTGTATGGATTTTCTATCAAATTGTCATGGCCTTCCTAACAAAATATGACAATCTTCCATGAGAGCTACACCATACAAACTTTGTTCTTATAATTACCGATAGAAAACTTGACCTTCACTTATCCTCTTTTTCATTAAGCCATTGAAATTTGTAAGATTTTGGATGAGGAATGGTAGTAAGGCCTAACTTAGCAACCAACATTGTGTTACAATAATTAGAGCTTGATACTTATTTTCATTAATTCAAATTGATGGATAATCATAAAAGTATTTTATATGTCGAATTGAATCTATATATAAAAAAATATGATATGATTTCAAGTTAAATTTTTTTTTGGAAGTTTGACTATATATTAAAAATTTGATGTAGAACATGATTTACTGAGTGAAATAAGTCTATCAAGACTTACTCTTAGAATAAGTGTATCTCTCCTTTTAACACTTACTCAATGACTAAGTCTATGAATTTTTTTTAAAAATATAAAACTTATTTAATATTTTATTTCATTAATTCAAATTAATAAATAATTATAAAAATCTTTTATATGTTTATTTGAATATTTATAATGAAGTATTATTAGTTTCAATTTTTTTTTAAAATTTATAAACTTAATTTATATATTAAAAATGTTTAATTTAACAATTAAAATATTAAAAAAATTTATTATAAAACATAAATTATTGATGATATAAATATAAAGGCAAAAATACATTTTTCGTCTCTTATATTATTTATTAGTGTCAATATAGTTCCATTTTAATTAATTGAATCAGTTTAGTCTCACATCTTTAACAGATCTGACACGTGTCATTATACGTGGCATGATGACATGACACGTGTCATGTTACCATGCCATGTGTAACGACCCACCATGGCCTCTACACTTTGTGGAATCGCACTATTGCTAGTGAACTAAGAGAAATATTAAGCTGGATAACTCATACATACATGTACAAATAAAATAAATTATCTAAATTTTTGGTTATAAAATAAAACTCCATATATGTACAGTCATCCCAAAAATAATATTCCCTAGTGCCGGTCAAGCACAGACAAAACTGTTACCCAAAATGGTAACTCCAACACGAGGATCAAAACTCCCCGTCTCGCAGCGAACACCTCAACTCCAAGCTAGCCCTGACCTGCTCCCATACCAAGTATGATCATCACAGTTCCACCACATGGAAAAAGAAGGGTAAGTTAGAATTCACAAATCAATCATACAAGTATAGAACTATAATCTATACTACACAATCATCCAACCATCAATCATATTCATAGAGTCTTTCCATACACTCTATCCAATACTACTCATGCATAACATACAATGCACCGATCATGAAGTCAAACACCACACTTCATCATATTAATAAGCATGCAATAAATGCATCTCATGACAGATAACAATGCATATCAATCATCTAATGCATCGTCACGCATATACCTAGGAGATCTCCACAACAATAGAGCTGTATAAGTGACATTCCATCCTACCGAAACCACCCCAACCGTTTTCACGCCCAATGCGCCTGCTCGGTCACAACTAAACAGGATATATAATCCTCACTCGGGTTTACTCGGATGATGTCACTTACACAATTGGAAGTCCAGATCCACCGTCAGGTATAACACAGCTGGGTACGGGCTTACCACGACCTTGGCATGCATTAACCAAGTCAATTGTGGAGTTCGCCCACCGACTATCCGCAAGGATCCACGCACCTTCCCGAGTACTTGGTTAAGGGAATAACCCTCGACCTCATACCCCGCTCCAACACTAGCTAAGGACTTAGAGGAGACTCACCCAACCCAGTGGCCTATCTGAGCACCACTCTCCCAAATCCAGTGGCCTCCCAGAGCACCACTCTCATATATCAGTGGCCTATCCAAGCACCACTCTCAAGAGACTCTATGTGAGCTCTTCCAGTTCGAAAATATTTTTCCTCTCCTCAAGTCCTAGGCTAGACTCATGTCATAAGGCATCACATGCAATCATGCATTATACATCATATATGGTCTGCCCACCATCATGATCAACAGTCATACACATGTCATAAGACATCACATGCAATAATGCATCATACATCATACATGGTCTACCCACCATTATGATCAATAAGCATACTCATATTCGAACATTCATACGTATCATCACAAAGCATACATATGAATCACACCGCACCATACATCAAATATCACACATATATGATCTAACATTTCAACTTTAAACACGCATAAGCATCAATTTAAAATAATTATTTATAAACATATTTACGCTCGGCGTAGCCTGAGCTCGCCCAGCCTAATCCAAACCTGAGAGTCCTAAAACTCATCCACGCCCAGCGCGTTCAACTCACGCTCGGTGTCCTTGAAACAGAGACTCTTAAGAGTATCCACGCTTGACGCAACCAAATCACGTCTGGCCCAACATCCAACCTGAGAGCCCTAAGCTCTTCCATGCCTGGCGCACTCAACCTGCGCCTAGCCTAATCCCAGTCAGAGAGTTCAGAAACTCTCATCCAAACCAACAAATCCAGCCACATGCAAACACAAAACACAATACATAGGCTCCATAC